AAATCTCGTTTCATTCACAACCATTTGACTGCAATTCAGTGCAATTTCTGCCACAAATTCAACTCCACGAGTACGAGGAAACTCAGCGGATCTCAACACGAACGTTGGCCCATCACCTGCAATGGAATATGGGCTGTATGATACGACCAGCGGCTAACACGGGAAGTGGCGTCATTTTCCACAAATCTCATTTCGTTCACCCCAACTCAAATAAAAGTGAAGTACAATTAGGGATTTGTCTTGCATTTCCATCGCCTCAGAATAAATTAACTTCGATAAACTGAGAGAGAATGAGTGAGGCAGCTGGAAGATGAGGATGAAAATAGAGATCAGAAGACTCGACGGAGCAATCGTCTCCGTGCTCTAAGAGAAATCGGAGAATGTCCCAATTAGTATTTCAAGAAGACATCACAATTTTCGAAAATAATAATTTCCTTGCCTCGCAACACCGTTCCCTGGCAGCGTTCCCCGGCAGCGCGAGGCAAAGATGTTTTCTGGGAATGTGTGCCGTGTCCTCTCCCGGGCTTTTACGACTCCCTGATTATGAGTGTATGATGTGGATCACTATCCGGCAGGAGTCATCACGGTCCAGGCACAGACGCCCGAGTGCACTGTTTTATGTCGAAAAGTTGAAAATGATCGCTGCATGCTTGCGGCTACATTGAGGTCATTCAAACCGCCATGTCCTGGTGAATATCGCCATCACGAACGCAAGCAATGGCCGTCAGTGAAAGAAATATTCTTGGAGCCGTGGTGCTGCTGGTCTATTCCTTGAGCACATCAGTGGAGGGAAAACATGTTTCAAGTTTTACTCACGGCTGGGACTGTATTGCCTGCTCGACAAACAACATGCTGGCGGGTAACTTTGGAGATGGAAACGGCCAGAATAAGAACTTCAATATGAGCGACCCGTGGTGGGTGGACGTCGTCGCAAAAGGGTATGCCGCTGTGGCCCTCAACAACTTCCTGGGGTCGGAACTGTACAACGGTACAGGCGAGAATGGAATGGTTACGGTGGCCAAAGCGTTGAAAGCCGCTAATCCCAAGATCAAAATCCTCTTCTACCAAAACGCGGAGTTTGGGTACACTGCACCTGTGCACTACGAGCAAGTCGAAGCCCATCCAGAATGGTGGCTGCGCAATGATGCCGGTGACACTGTCTGGTTCAGGCCTCCTAAGCCAGGCTACAAAGGGTACCCAGCGATTGATTTGAGTATTCCTGCAGTTCAATACTGGTTCGGAAATCTATCCCTGGGCTTTTTCAAGAACGAGGAAGAAATCCGTCAGCTGTGCGATGGAATTTTCGTGGACGGCTCTGGATACTTCAACCGCTACCGCTATCAAAACCTTTCCAATGATAGGTACGAGAAGCTGTTTGCTGGCAAGATGCAAATGATGGAGAATGTTCAGAACTACTTCACCAAACTGAATGGCGGAGACGTGTGGGGAAATGCGGCCATGAATGTCATCTGGAGAGGAACTCCTTACCCGGGTGGCAACCTGACTTGGGAAACTGACCTACAGTATTTCAATGGTGCGTTCACGGAGCGGATCACTGGCTTCAACGCAGATGACCGGGATGGTAACTGGAATGCAACATTCATGGAGAGAATGTTTGAATCAATCATCAATGCCAGCACTGCAGGCCACAGCGTTGTGATAAAATCATTTGTGGGTCCGGCGGTGCCGCCATTCGTCAGCAGAGGAGAGCGGGGAAACTCATTCGTTGTGTCATCGTGGGCAGGGAAGACTCAGGTCCCTAACACGACTGAGGGATGCAGGAAGGCTATGGCGGACAGAATCAACGAAATTATCGCACCGTTCTTGATTGTGGCCAACGAAAGGGTGTTCTTCAGCTATGCCTGGTTCTATAGCATAGCTGACGGCTACATCCCGTGCAAGGCTGGTGTAGAGTGTGGCATGCCCAGTGAATGGTACCCGGAGTTCACAAGACCTCTTGGACCACCCAAGGCAGCAGCTAAACGACAAGGAACTGTGTGGACACGTGAATTTGAACACGCGTCAGTCTACGTAGACCTGGCTGATAGATCCGCCAGCCGAGTACAATGGACATAATGATAGCGTGTGCGTGTGTGTGTGTGTGTGTATGTATGTGTGTGTGTATGTGTGTGTGTGTGCGTGCCATATGGTGCACTGGTATTTTGCAGTCAATTTCCAATCGAGAGGTTGTGGATTGAATTCCAGACGATTATGGTCACACATGTCTTTTTTCTGTTTCTCACTCTCTTACTGACTTTTCTCTCATTCTCGCAGGTGGACCTGAGGTGGTTACCAACAACTAGTGCGTGTCGCAGTGTGTGATGTGATGAGTGCGTGGGCAAAAAATATAAAAGGACTAAAAGGACCAAAACGTAGGGATTCACTGGCCAGAAAAAAATAATTGAAATAGCTGTGCGGTGTAGACCAGGCTGAATAGTGGTCGTCATGTTTTATTAGACAAGTGGCGATTCTGTGGATTGATGGCTTAGTGTTCACACCAAAACTATAATTATGTAGTAGACAAAGTGCCTCGAGTCGTTGCTTGCAAATAGTGCTCAATACCCTAACAAGAGCAGGGCGTACTACCAGTGTTACCAACTGCCCGCATTTGTCCGTATTTTTTACGAAAAAACGATGTTTTGTCCGCAGTACGACGGATTTCATTCGAATTATCCCGGAAAGCTTCCTGTTCACCCGGCTGTTCTGGCGGCTGCTGAGTGTTCATTGTAAGCATACATGTATGACGCAACTGTACTGTTGATGTGCATGGAGTTGCTTACCTCTCTTACTTTCTTATCTTTTCTTTGCCTTCTTCTCTCTCTTTGGTTACCACGGCGACCCCGTGTGCTGTTCTACTTTTTTATTTTTTCTCTTTTACGTTTACTTTATACCAGGCGTGGGCCATCCTCTGTACATAGGTACCACCATTTTTCTGTTTCAATAAAAAAGTTTAACTGCCGAAAAAAATTTATCCTGGAAAAGCAAAAAAATACGGTGTCTTCGAAAGGAGGGAAAAATGGTGCAGAAGACGCCCATCCACGTGCCATCCATCGATCTACGCAAAATCGGATCGCAGAGTGCATGCAGCCTGCATGCAGTGCGCTGTACATATCCACGCCATGTGCATCATGATGCGTTGTATCATGCGCTGTACATGTCATGTGCATGTCGTGTGCATGGTGTTCATATCACATGTATCATGCGCAGTTACATGATTGTGCATGTTCATGCGCATTTCGGATCGCAGAGTGCATGCATGCAGCGCAGCCTGCATCATTGACGTGCATGCGATCATGCGCTGTATACATGCTATGTGCATGTTCATGCCGATGGTACATGCGCAGTACATGTGCATGATCGATTGTACTACGCTACTATTATGTACACCATGCATGCTGTGCAAACTACACGTGCACACAAGTCACGCCGTGTGACGTGATGAGTGAATCGATTGAACCAGTACATTATGAGCAGGGAAAAATGTAATCAACAGAACATTCAATATTTAGAATAGTTCCATTACTTTCATGAAATTTTAATTCGTACGCTTCAGAACTCTGTGGCTGGAAAAGTTGGACAGTATTGGTTTTAATAATGCAATAAGTATAACTAAATGCGCACTCATATCACAACCATGGGGAGGAATAATGTATTCCAGAACGTTTTCTTGTCACAATTATCAATGGAATTTGTAACTAAAGAGAATGATGAAACTACAATAGGATTTATACACTCGGAGTGAAACGGCGAGGATACAAGAATAGTAAGAAAAAAACACAAATTTAGCACAAATTTGCACAGGTAATAAAAACTATACAGGTGAGAAATGATAGGCAGCAGGTGGAGTGTGACAATGGACGTGCATGTGCAAGTGTGCATGTATTAGTGCTCTGCCTTGTGTAGTAACTACACAACTTCACAAGGCAGAACAACAGAGACCGCTATCATTGTCGTGGCTCAGAGTTTCGTGTTTAGAAAACACTCATCAGATGAACAGACGAGTGTTTTCTGAACACGAAACTTTGAGTATGAGTCACGAAAACGATGTTGGTCTCTGTTGTTCTACTTAGTGCAGAGCGTCCTACTCTTGTTAGGGGATTGAGCACTACATGTATTTGCAGCACATACCAGAGGCACTTTGTCTACTACAGAATTCATGTAGTTATAGGGTGAACACTAAGCCATCCATCCACAGAATCGCCATTTGTCAAACACCTGCCTGTCAACATTTGTCTAAAGAAGCTGGCTTACATGTACATGCAGGTCAGATCAGTGACAGTGGTCTGTGGCCTGGCCATCTTCAGCCCACCCGAATCTAGCGCCTTGTTGCGTATAATTATGTAGCTCGTGCATGTACTGGGAGAACAAGACTTAGACTTAGTGTGGCCCAGCCTCTTTCTATGGCAGCTCTGACGTACGTGTGATGGAACCTGATACTGATAGGTGATTTCAGTTACTTGAAGGGCGGCCTGGCGCTGCTCCATGCAACGGCTGGCAGCGAAGCATACATGTACATGTACATTACTGGAACGTGGTACATGCATTGTGGTATTGCGGTGTCCGTAGTTCGCCCACAGACCATGCCCGGCGATGACAATAATTTAAAAAGGGTTCACCGCCAAGAGGCAAACTGTAAACTCTCCGGCACCCTACCCCCAAGGCATAGCCATACAGAATATCAATGTGGTACACGTAGGCCTAACTAGGCTACGATGCCAACATACCGTGGGCGAAGGCTCCAGCCCAATGTCGGACAGCAAGGGTCGATAATCGCGAAGGCTACATCAAGATCCCTGATAAGCAAGCGCAGTCCTTGCAATCCGTCATTGTCCCTTGTCTTTCACTAAGTGAAATATTACTTTCGCTTTCAAAGGTCGAATCATTACCTTCGATAGTATGCAGTCACCATGACGTTGTGTAAAGTTTTCTATATGGTGTTACCATGGTTACTATGCACTGTGATCATGGTACATTTGTCTAAAGGGCAAACGAATGTTCCGATGGTTAGCGATCCAGAATACGGATTTCAGCCACCAAGTGAGTCTACGCGTGGCCGCCTGAGGTTCGTAGAAGGTAACGTGTTCTATCCCGTGAGCCAGAACTACACCATAGTGCGACGCCCATGGCAATCCTTCTACAGCTGTAATGCCTACCCAACCGTCGTGGTGCAAACGAAGAATGCCAATGACGTCATACTCACCCTGGAGTATGCAGAGGAGAATAACCTCCGTGTGGCAGTTCGCAACGGAGGACATTCGTATGCAGGTATAAGCCGCTCTTATGGCTTAGTCCTGGATGTATCCCTAATGAACAACATTAGTGTCACACCTCAACAAGCCGACAACCTAGCACTACTGCCTCTAGTGAAAGTCGGTGCGGGTCAGACGATATTCGGTGGGTACTACGAACTGGCAAAACACAACTTAACTCTTACAGGGGGAAGCTGTCCGAGTGTAGGAATCAGTGGTCTTACTCTCGGTGGCGGCGTTGGCGTCCTGTCCAGGAAATGGGGCCTTATGTCCGACCAAGTGTACTCCATTGACGCTGTGGTGTATGAAGACCAGTCGTACAAAGCAGTGACCGCTACAGCTGATAATCAGTATAGTGATTTGTTCTTCGCATTCCGTGGTGGAATGGGAGGCAATTACGGTGTCGTCACCAGCTGGATGTACCGTGCCCATCATATAACGACCGTCTATACATCCACGTTCAGTCTCGATTTAGTCGCCACTAGATCAGATAATGGAACAATTCAAACCGACGCTTACAGGTACATGTATATTTGGGACGCAATCAGCAACTTTACTGCATGGTGCGATGATATAAGTAATAACACGAATTGCGAGATGGCCATTTCAACCACACCGTTGCCCAAAGATGATCTTGAAAGTCCGAATCGAGCGGAAGCTCAACTGGCCAAAAGCTTCAATCTGGAGAGCTCGTGCATTTGCAACAGAAGCGATTGTAGCGCATGCGAAGCTGAAGTAAACGAGCTGGAGCGCGTGCTGAGAACCGTAAATGCTAGCACACCTTGGAATTTGTACACCTCGGACATTAGCCCCGAAGAGGGTGTGCCATGGCGAGAGTATATCTGGACCTTGGCGGGCTGCACCCAGTACTACAACGCTACGCTTTACAATCCTGGACAGTACCCACCCATTTCGTTAGCCCAAGCTTGCATTGAGCACGCCCAGGCTGCGATCGGCCGAGCTGAGTACAATCGCAAGAAGAGCCTGTTCCTAAGCAAGAACCCTGACTCCAATCTGATCATGAAGGTACTGGATTGGTTTGATTCGTTCTCCGAAAATATCATCGTCGATACCTACACGGCAGCCAATGTAGAGTTTTATTACTGGCGTGGTGCACTTGCTTCCCCGCCTTCGTATGCTGCTGATTCTGCATGGCGCCATCGCGATGAAAAATGGTTGGCCCACATCACGGGTCGCTTTCCTCAAGACGCCACGCCGGAGACAATTGCGAATGTCTACTATGCGTTGGGAACGCTTCATAGCATCTTCCTCAACGCTGAGAAGAGCAACACGACTCGCATTCAGGACTATCAGAATTTCGCGGATGGGTCTCTCAGCTACGAAGGTTGGAGCCACTTCTATTTCGACCAACCTACGATTGAACGCCTATCGAAGATCAATTACAAGTACAATCCCAACGATATCTTTCGCAATGAGTTGTCTGTTCCATTGGTCAGGCCTTGCGCATCAAGCTCTTCTAGACTGATGTCAGCCATGTTTATCGTAATGGTTTGTATCCTAGCATCCAGTACTTGATGATGTCGCCGTGCACAGTTTTCATTGCTTCCCCTTGCGTTGAGGTTTTTTTATTCCCTCTTAGAGCCTTTGGCAATACAGGCAACATTTAATAATTTCTAGCAAGTGTAAGAGGATGAAAAAGTGTTTTTACTCCGAGTTTCATGCGCTAAGCGATCATCAGAAATCAGCACGTATTTCTCGCAAGTTGAAGAGATGAGTTTACCATGGCGTTTGGCCATAAGATCAGCTACTTCATATCATTTTCTTGGACAAGTTCTGCCTTTAATTGCTCTTTAATTGGACTGCTCAGTCACGCAACGTATCCCGGTCAGTTGTGTGACCATCTCGTGAATCGTGATTTTGTTAGTTCCGTTCTAAGAAACCTTGTTATGGAGTTTTGGTTAAGGGTTTGGAGTTTTTGAACGTAGTGTTTTCATTCTTTTTCTCTCTTCTACTTCAAATAGTATAAACATCGCTGTTGGAATTAGGATCTTTTTCTAATGCATTTTGCTGTCGTCTTTCTGAATTCTTCGCTCTTCCTGCATCCATAATTATCATCATTGGTTAACCGTTTGTGCATTCAATAAAACGCGTTTTAGTAGTATTCACTTTCTGACTGCTTATTATCTTGTTACAGTCGTGGATAGCTGCTTCATAACTGGTTTCCATGTGATTTCTTCTACATGTATTTTAGTAGTATAATCATGGTTATTGAAAAATCTCCTATACGTACATGTATACATGTACCGGTACATGTACAGTACATGTAGAATTAACACCGATGTCGTAGTAAAATCAATAAGGAGATATAAACACTTCTATAAACCCGAGGGGTAGCCAATGTTTTTTTTAAATAAACAGTAATACAGATGTTTTTCAATTCCCATAATTTCATAAACACAGGACAGAGTTGTTAATTCTACTCATACCTAGTACCTACAGTACATGTACATGTAGCTTCGTTTTTGACGGGAATATTTGGTCCGAAATACATGTAGCTTGTTCTGCACCTCCACGAGTGACACTGACTCACACTACTCTGTTCTTGGGTGAAGGACTTCATCAGTGATCGTAGTATTTGCGTTTGCATTGGCCAAACTCTTTCTGACCCTTTGCCCATCACCGCTGGCGTACCCCAAGGTTCCCATCTCGGCCCGCTTCTTTTTAACCTGTGCATCAACTCCTTTCCTGATGCCCCTGCTTCTAGTACCCTATCCCTTTTTGCTGATGACTCTAATTTAATTCTTGTTTCTCCAGCAAACACCTCACTTCCTATCCATCATGCATTGCTCCAGACTGACATTGATAAGTGTTGTCAATGGTCATCAGCTACTGCCATGACGTTTAACACCAGTAAATGCGTCCACCTACCCTTTCAAAAATATGCATTAGCCCCCGGCCCGTCATCCCCCTTGACAATGAACGGTGTGCCTATTCAGAAAGGTGATAGCCACTGTCATCTCGGCGTGACTATCACTCCTTCACTAAATTTTTCTGACCATATAAAATCTATCACCCATAAGTTTCGCAGTCGTGTTTTTCTGTTGCGCCATGTGGCCCATTTCCTTTCTGCTTCAACCGTGAATTTGCTCTACAAGTGTTACGTACGACCACTGTTAGAATACGCAGTCCCTGTCTGGTCATTCGCCGTATCCCATTCAGATTCGCTTACGTTAGACCGACTGCAAGCCGTTGCTGCTCGTTCATATCTGCTTTGAAAGACCCGGCACCCTCCTGAGTGGGAAACCCCGAAGCAGATTCTTAATCGTACTTGTGACTGGTCATCCCTGAAGTGGCGTCGTCAGATTCTGTCCTTGCTGTATTTTCATCATGTCTTTTACCAGTTTCCGTCTTTGCTAATTCGTTTCAAATTCAATGTATCCCTTAGTTGTCGTCACCCGTCCTCTATAGTTTTACCTCGTTCTATATGAGCGACCCGTGGTGGGCCGCAAAAGGGTATGCCGCTGTGGCCCTTAACAACTTCCTGGGCTCGGAGCTGTACAACGGTACAGGCGAGAATGGAATGGTTACGGTCACCAAAGCGCTGAAAGCCGCCAATCCCAAGATCAAAATTCTCTTTAACCAAGTGCGCTCACCTTCCTCTCTCTTACGTTACTTCATAACTTAGACCCTTCCAAGTTGGAAGGCGGTTGGTTTGCACATTTCGGACATGATGTAGCTGATGGCCTATTCACACGACAGGCACTTGCACGTTTTACAGGGAGTGACATACGAGAAAAGTGACTGTATTTTTTGTATTGTATTTTATTATTTTTACTTGGGCATTCCCAACAGACCCTAAGGTCTTCTTACAGGGTGCCCAAGATGAATGAAATTGTTAAGTTCCTGGCGAAATGAATTGGGGATATGATTTGTGCGAAGGGATTCGGGAAGCGCATTAAAGCGGTCAGCACCAAGGAATGAAATAGATCTGTATCCAGCTTGAGCTTGCACGATGGGTAAGGAAAGGGAATAATTGACTTGCCCGCGGGTTACTCTATCTGTGTGAGCGCAGTCACGGCGAAGGGAGAACATGTCAGAGAGGAGTGAACTGCAGATATTGTGGATGCAACGGAACACGAAGAATATGGACTTAGTATGATATATTTTGTCTAAGCTAATTATGTGGTATCGCTCAAGCAAGTATGATGTCCGCGTGAATGTGTCATGCTCAAATCTGCATCTAAGTGCTCTCTTACTTATGCGTAGCAGCTGATCTCTCACATTGTCAGCGAGGCAGTGGACGTAGGCAGTGCTGGCGTACTCGAGCTTGCTCTGGACTACTGACAAGTAGAACTGCCTTCTGGCCTGGACAGCAAGGTTCCTCCTTCCACGTCGAAAAGCACCTAGTTTCTTTCCGATGTCTTCCCTGAGGGAGTTAACGTGGGCACTGAAACTTAAAGTTGAATCGAGAGTCAGTCCTAGATACTTAACTTCGTCAGACGGGGCAATAGCAGTCGAACCACAGACAATGCTCAGGTTAGGTGGAGGATGTGAGCGTCTGCTGTGGATCAGTAGTACTTGGCTCTTGCTGGAGTTCAGGAGCAGGCCGCGATCTGTGAGGTGCTGCCTCACCACTGAAAAATCGTCTTCTAAGTAAGACATGAGAATTCGTGGACACTTTCCAGAGGCATACAGGGTGGTGTCGTCTGCATAAAGAAGGCATTGGGAACGCAATGGCAGAGTGGGGACAAGTCGAGTGTAGATGCTGAAGAGGGTAGGGCCTAGGACGGAACCCTGGGGAACGCCCCTAGTGCAGCTTCTACAGTCACTTGTGGTTCCGATCACTTCTACGCGTTGCTGGCTGGGGGCGGGGTTTGGAGTAAGCTGCGTGCTTCTGGGTAACGAATGGTGCAAGATCATCTAGTACTGTCATGACACTTTGTTGCCAGTGTGGATTCACACAGCTGCACTCGACGACAGGCACGTTTGCATTTTTGAATGCTTCACCGACCAGTAGCCATGGGTATTTCAAATTTTCAAAACACGCATACAATAATTATCATGCTCTAAGAGCCGCGTAAAAATCAAGTCTTGTTTCGCGCTTTTTGGTGTAAATGTACTCGTGCACGCCACGATTATCATGAAAGTGGGCCCCAGCGCGCTTGCACTTTTCAGCCACTTTCAGCCACTTTTCTCGTTCACAGGTAAAATACCATAGCAACTTTCCGGTGCACGTGGATTTGCCTGTTGGTTGGTTGGTTGGATTTATTTAAAGTCGTACAACAAACAGGCATATCTGCCTCCTTATATGAAGACGACTTCTGGCAGCAAAAACATTTAAGAAAAAAAGAGAGAGAAAGAAGCCTGTAGTGTGAATACCCTATAAAAAAAAGTATAAGCATCAGGTTGTTCAATGTCAGTATCACATCAGTCAGTTTTGTGCTAATTGTTGCACATCCTGACTCACCATTATCCTGCTTATAATCGTTAGTAAAAGCTATGAGAAGTATGAATGCCGCAGACATGATTTGATTTGCTCACTCCCAGTTGTCCTATTTGTCGTGTTATTTCTCCTTCTCTGCTCACTTTGTATTCTCATATTTTCATCCTAACCGTACAGAATGGAGGCCCCCTCGATAGGCCTAAACGGCCTCTGGGGAATCCTTTAAATGAATGATACAAATTATACATCACCACGCAAGACGCAACACGACAATTTGTTAAGAGGTTTGAGATTGTGCGTTTCCAGAATCGATTTTCAAGCTCCGATTTTCAGTGGCAATACGAAACTCAAGTGATAAATGTGCAAGAAAAGGGTGGTGGTGAAGGCGATAAAACGGACGACGAGAAGTCAGGTGGCAGGGAAGGTGATCGAGCTGATGAGGGTAAAGTTCGTAAGAAATCAACCGTGTACTTCTTACGTAAGAAATCAATTGTGTACTTCTTACGTAAGAAATCAATTGTGTACTTCTTACGTAAGAAATCAACGGTGTACTTCTTACGTAAGAAATCAACTGTATACTTCTTACGTAAGAAATCAACTGTGTAATAATAATAATGACAGTTCGCATTTCACTCATTGCATGAGGTCAAAGCATCTGTTAACAATTTCGAGCCAAGCAGCTCTATCAGAAGCAGATTGCACAGCAATCTTTACTAACTGGTGGTGTTTATTTGCAGTTAGTGGGCATATCATAGCGTAACATGTACATGTAGTTCCTTGGTCCTCTTTATTTTCTATAAATTTATCCTTGGTTCTCTATCCGAGTCCATACATACAGTCATATAATTATATTCAATTATATAATAATAATTTTCATTGCTATCAGGTTCGGCCTCATTTCCTCTGTGCTTTTTTTTTTTTTTTTGTGCTTCGCTGATGAGTCCACAAAGGACGAAACAGTTCTGTCCTCAGATTGAGTAACTATAATCTGTCCCCGGGGAAAATTGCGATTCCGCGGCCGCGTTTTTTTCCGCGTTTTTTGCGATTTTTTTTTAAAAAAGACCGCGTTTTCCGCAATTTTCCCGCGTTTTTGAACTTTTTTGTTGCACTACACGTACATGTACACACAGTG